TATTTTTAACATTATGTGAAAAAAGTTATTATAAAGAATCCTTAAACTCAATATTACAATGATCAAAAAACCAATGGTTACATTTAAAATTTAGCTATTATCAAACACCAAACTATTATATTCATATATTTTTTAATACAACAAGTCCAAATAAATTACAAATCCAACATAAGAACATAAAGAAATCCCTAAAGAGAGTGGAGCACAAACAAAATCTCCAATTTAGACTCAAACTTAAATTTGAATTTAAATGGTTCAAAAAAAATTTCAACCTTGGAGCCAAATCTATATCAAATAAAAAAAAAAATTTATTAACTCAAATTGAAAGGAATTCAAGTTTTATATCAAATTTCTAATAATAATTTTTTATTTTATCCAAAACCCAAAAGACTTATTTAACGGCTTATTTTCTGTCTCTTCCTGCCTCTTTTCTTCTACGCTACTTCCATCGCTAATTACCACAGAAGCATTTACAGTTCCTGTCCATGATAATGTCTTCAATAATTTTCCGTCCTTCAAACTTTCTTGTCCCTATCTCAACCAGTTCTTTTCCATTAAAATTCCGTCCTTCTAACTTTCTTGTCCCAATCTGAACCCGTTCCTTTCCATTATTCTCCTCTCTCTCTCTCTCTCTCTCTCTCTCTCTCTCTCTCTCTCTCTCTCTCTCTCTCACACACACATACAGCCCACATGGTCCAAGAGGAACGAAGCATAAAAAAGAAATAAAAATAAAGACAACCCTTTTCATGGACCCAAACCCATGTCACATAGAGAGTTCCTATTCTAACAACACAAGTGTGAGCAGCAGCAACAGTCAGATTTCATGATTTGAATGAGAGTAAAACATAAATTTTGGGATAATAAGAAAATTTTTTAAAAAATTCGATTAAATATTTGAATTTGTCTATTAAAATTCTCTATTAAAACTTAAATTTTTTATTCAAATTTAAGTTATTATTAGAGATGCTTTAATCTTTTCGTTAAAAGTATTAAAGATGGTCAACTAGATAAAGGAGAGTTGGTTCATTATGTTGGTGAAGATAATTAAATAATTAAGATAAGACACATTTAGGATGCCAAAAAAAAAAAAAAACCAAAATTATAATCTATATAATAAAATAGTTTACAATTCAAATCTCAAAAAATAAACAAAATGACTTTTGTTATTTGCGATTGAGATCGCTTTAAATTTTACTTTAAAATTAATTTAACGGCTAATATTAATACCCTAAATTTAATAGAAAAAATAGGTCATAAGGGTGTATTTGGAATGACTTTTTAAAAGTACTTCTAGCAATTATTTCTCATAAATACTTTAAAAAAAAATAGTGTTTGAAACCGTCTCACCACTACCTCTACCCCCACCACCCCCCACTACCACCACCGTTGCCGCTACTATCGTAGTCACCCCCACCCCCACCCCCCTCCACTATTGTCGCCGCCACCACCACGATCATTGCCACCCATCACAACTATCATCATCTCTTACCACCACTACTGTTGCCTACTATCTCTCACCCCCACTACAACTGATGCTTAAATTAATTTATCTCTTATCTATATTTGTGATTTGATTTTGAATATTTATACAAATATATTTATTATTTACTATTTTTTATTATTTTGTGCCTTCAAAAACAAATAATAACTAATGAATCAATAAGTGATGTATTTAACATTAAAATTACATAAGTAATTATCAGAATAATAAGATGGCGATAGAAACCCTTCACACAATCAGTTGTGTTTAGATTCTGATTTTCCTTAATGCATTTTTCTCATTTGACTATTTTTCTACCCCCCCTCATGAAATTTTTAATGCGAATTACTTTTAACATCGATTTCAATTTTTTCATACATTTATCTGAGATTTTATGCAAATACTGTTATTTTTGGCAAATATCAAGGGTGTTATTGAAATTTACCCACAATATATATTATATACATGGAGAAATTCTAATTTTTTTTCCTAATGTCCTGAAAATAAATACTAATTCCATTTAGGGCATTCTTGTCATTTCAAACTCCAATTCCAAACCATGCGCACTGTTCATTCTGTCTGTAACTTTCGATCATAAGCAACCCTCTTCCCACTAGCCACGTGCCATTCAAGCAGACACCCTATCTTGCACGTGCCATGAACCCCAAACGTCAGCAAAAAACCTAGCCTTTGAACCGCCGCACGTGCCCCACAGTAATCTCACGTGCAAAGCTAAACACAGTTAAAAAAAAAACTCATCATCATCATTTTATCATAATTAAAAAACTGTAAAAAAGTTAAAAAGCAATGTTATAGATATCTTATTTAGGAAATTGTTATTTTTGTTTAAAATATTTACATAATTTATCGATTTAATTAATTATAATTATTGAATCGATAATAAATTTTAACAAATATTAAAATTTATCATAAAATTAAAAATAATACTATTATGACCTCATTTTCTAACCTAAAACTAATGTTGACCTAATGACTTAAACGTGTCACGTCAACAACTTCTTTAACTAAATATATATATTTTTTAGGGTTAATCTCATTTTGTACCCCGAAAGATCGTTTGAATCTCAATTTATACCTCCAAAGATAAAAAATCTCAATTTTTACCCTCAAAGATAGAAATTTGTATCAATGTACACCCCCAAAGATAACAAATCTCAATTTGCACCCTCAAAGATAGAAATCTGTATCAATGTACACCTAAAACTAAATTGATAAATTATACCTAGATCCCCTCATATTTGTCACTTAATCATTTGAATCCCTTCACATTTAGAATATTACCCCTACATCTCATGACATTTGTACATGTGTAAACATAACCACTTTTCGTTGATATCTATTAATATAATCGTTAAAAAATATGATTTTATCCTAATAAAAAATTATAATTTCATATTACCCTTTATTTTGTGGATTCGATATACTCTAAAGTTCAAAATCAAGCTTATCATTTGAATATCTAATAAAATTTAGATATTTATATAAAGGAAAATATGAAAAACATTATATAAATATCTACATTTTATTAGGCATTCAAACGGTAAGCTTGATTTTGAACTTTAGAGTATATTGGACCCATAAAATAAAGGTAATATGAAATTATAATTTTTTATTATAATAAAATTATATTTTTTAACGGTTATATTAACAGATTTTAATGAAAATGGGTTACATGTTGTACGTGCATAAATGTCATGAGATGTAAGAGTAATATTCTAAATGTAAAGAGATCCAAATGATTAAGTGACAAACATGAGGGGATCTAGGTATAAATTATCAATTTAATTTTAGGTGCATAATGATACAAATTTCTATATTTGAGAATGCAAATTGAGATTTTTTATCTTTGAGGTGCACATTGATATAAATTTATATCTTTGAGGGTGCAAATTGAGATTTTTAATCTTTGGGGGTGCACATTGATACAAATTTCTATCTTTGAGGGTGTAAATTAAAATTTTTGATTTTTGGGAGTATAAATTGAGATTCGAACGATCTTTCGGGGTGTAAAATGAGATTAATCCTTTTTTTTTTCAATTTATAATTACTCACAAAATTCTCTCTTCCCTCAAGCTAATCCTAGGTCTGCTGCTCCCGTCTCCATCTCTTTCGGTCAATAAAACTCTACGATGAAATTGACGTCGGGCACGCAACAAACACCAACTAAAAAATTTCAAAACAATATTGTTTGAGACAATTCGTTGAACAACTTGTACATGAAGATAAATCATATATAGTTGTAAAGTCCCATCCTTTTCTACAAAGGCTTTGCAGTTATACATGATTCGTCGTCTCTAGAAGTTGTCTGACGAGATATCTAAAACAATATTGTTTTGAATTTTCCTAGGTAGTGTTTGTTGTGTGCTCGATTTCACCGCAGAGTTTATTGATCGACGGAGAGACGGAGACAGGAGGAGAAGACAGTAAGTTAGGTTGAGGGAATGGAGAATTTTGTGAGAGTAATTACAAACTGAAAACAGGAAAAAATGAAAAAAATAAAACATTTAGTTGGACAAATTGGTTTTTTTTTGGTTGATAAAAATCGGATGGGAGCAAAAGAGATCGTCCAAAAACCACTCCAATAAACCTTTCACTTGTGATATCATGAGACTCTGAACTGCGTCAATTACTTCTCTTAGAAATAAACTTAGCTAGCCTAATATAACGGTCAACCACCGAATCCTAATATTGACTCCAAAACTCAAACTTTTAATTTTAGAATGAGAAATTTGATCACTGCCCTATAAGATCGCCCCACTCAAGGGTCGTTGGAGAAATTGTTGACTTGGTAAGTCTACATTATTTTATTAGATAAAAATATTAGATCAATAACATTAGTCTTAAATTAATGACAATAATTAATAAAATTTACCATCGAGTAAGGTGGTACAATGAGATATCGACTTAACTTCTCACATTCGTGATAAAAATTTGAGTCTTAAAATCTACATTAAAATTTATAATAATGTTATACTGAGTAAATTTTGAAATTAAATTTAAAATTTAAATGACATAATAACATAATATTTTTAAAATTTAATAATTAACTGTTGTAGTAACTTAGTTAGGTTCAATCTCGAGATAGGCATCGGGATCCCACTGCTGAAAATATATGGAGGTGATCACTAACCGCTATTCTTTGTACCCACCCGTTTATTCAAAAGCAAAAATAGATGAAATTAAAACATCATCTCAATATTTTAATTACAATCAAAAGTTAATCACCCTCCCTCCGTACGACGTAGCTTAAATAGCCAACAAGCATCTTCTCCAACCGTCTCTCTCTCTCTCTCTCTCTCTCTAGCCCAGTAGCCATTAAACACCAGAGCCCAAGAGGACCAGAGCTATATAGCCTTTCCTTCTGCATTATCTCTCTCTCTCTCTCTCTCTCTCTCTCTCTCTCTGAGTACGGCAAACCGTAATTTTCTGGTCCACACTAAAGGCTGTTTCTGTTACTGTATCACTGTGCTCTTGAAGCTCCTTTAGTGGTGCTGCAAATGCATCTCTCTCCCTCTATTGTAGTGTGAATATTGACTTTCCACACCAACTGATTCTTCTTAACTTTTTCTCTTTCTTCATGCAGCTACTGTTCATTGTTCTAGAATTCGTTTTCCACATTTTCTTCGCATCTGATTTCCCAAGACCCGCAAGAAAAATTCCACCCAGTTGGTCAAAATCCATCGTTTCTAACCATCTTCATAGCGTACAAAGTCCCCTTCTGAAATTTGAACAGACCCACCTCAGATTAACAACTATATATTGATTTGTAAGATGTTAGAGTTTCCAAGAGAATCAGACAGTGAAGAAACGTTTTACGAAGCTTCGAATTCAAGCAAAAGCTCAATGAGTAGTTCTGACAGTAACACTAATTTCAGCCGTCTCTCTTTCGACCTCCCATCAACGTCGCCGGAAAATCTAACTCTGAAACCTCACCGCTCGTCGGACTCTTCTTTTCAAGCTATCCGATCAGCGGCATTTCACAGGAAAAAGACCGGCCTGAGTTTCAGAGACTTCAGCCTGGTCCGGCAGATCGGAAGTGGAGACATAGGCAGAGTTTATCTCTGTAAACTACGCAGCGATGAGAGCTGTTTTTATGCTATGAAGGTGGTGGATAGAGAGGCTTTGGCTTTGAAGAAGAAGAATCAGAGAGCTGAGACTGAGAAAAAGATCATGAAAATGTTGGATCATCCTTTTTTGCCTACTCTTTATGCTGAATTTGAAGCTTCCCCTTTCTCTTGTATAGTTATGGAGTATTGTTCTGGTGGTGATTTGCATTCTTTGAGACACAAACAGCCTCACAAACGCTTCTCTCTCAGCTCTGCAAGGTACCCTCTCTCTTCCTCTCTCTCCTTCTCTCTCTCTATACATACATACATACATATAATATATGATCAGTATCCATGTAATATGTTTCAATTGATTACAGAGATACTCTATACATCTCTCTCTCTCTCTTTATATATATATATATATATATATATATATATATATATATATATGGTCAGTATCTATGTGGGTATATTACTGTTGATTACAGAGATACTGTATAAAATTTGAAAAGTCTGAAACGGTTTTTGAAGCTCTAAATATTCTTGAATCTGTCATTAGAATGTAGTGTTCTTTGATTTGTGGCTATGTTTTTCATTTGATTCTCTGTGGTTTTTGTTTGTGTCTGATGAAAATGGACCACATACATAGGATTCCCATCCAAAGGTGTTCTGTCTGTTTCAGCTCTGCAAAAAGTTTACTCTTATGGAAGAATTTTCCACCTATTTCCTCATTTTTCAGTTATTTTCTCGGAAAATTGATCTGTTAAGTCGCGAATTTCCATGAAAAAAATTGCCATCCTTAGGTCTCTCTCATCTCGGTTGCTTGCAAAATTGGAATTTTCTAGATCGGGCATTTCTTTTATCCACTCAAACAAGCCATCAGATCATCATTTTCAGGGCTTTTCTCATGTTAAATATAAACAATTTTGTATTATAAACAACAGACCTACTCGATTTTCTTTTTGGTTGCTGAAAAAAAAATCTAGGTGATTTTAATTACGATATATGTAAACCATAAGAGAAATTGTCATGAAATTTATGTGATTTTCCCTTCGTTTTCCAGGTTTTATGCAGCTGAAGTTTTGGTGGCTTTGGAGTACCTTCACATGCTGGGGATAATTTACAGGGACTTGAAGCCAGAAAACATATTAGTCAGATCAGACGGCCACATTATGCTCACAGACTTTGACCTTTCTCTGTGCTCAGATGCAATCCCAGCCGTTGAATCGCCTGACTTTTCTACAAACCCATCATCATCACCGACTGTTAAACAGAAACCCCGTACACCCACTCCATTTTCATGCATCCCAACCCGGCTGTTCCGGTCTAAGAAGATCCAAACACTCTCAACCAACCGTCTGTTCGTGGCCGAGCCGGTCACCGCCCGGTCATGTTCTTTCGTTGGTACCCACGAGTATGTGGCCCCAGAAGTTGCTTCTGGTGGGCCCCACGGCAATGCCGTGGACTGGTGGGCCCTAGGGACTTTCATTTACGAGATGATTTATGGGCGCACACCTTTTGCTGGTGTATCGAATGAAGCTACGCTGCGTAACATAGTGAAAGGGCCGTTGACATTTCCAACTCACACTCCTAGTAGTGTGACTGAGAAACACGCGCGGGACTTGATATCCGGGTTGTTGGTGAAGGATCCGAATAGCAGACTAGGGTCGAAGCGTGGGGCTGCTGACGTCAAGACCCACCCGTTCTTTAACGGCCTGAACTTTGCGCTTATAAGGACAGTGACGCCACCGGGGGTTCCGGGAATCAGGAGACAGAAAACGACGACGTCGCGTCACTCTGTGAGTCAAACGGCGTCGTTTGACTTCTTTTGATCTATTTTCATATTCACTGTGACACGGGATGTGCGCCACGTGGCACAGATTTTGTCCAATTTTAGGAAATTTACTACTAGACACTGTGCATATACCTGATGTTTATCAGTTTTTTTAAGCCACAATGAAATTTTGTGAATCTTCAAATTAACTCTAAATAGTATTTTCCTTTGTGGGGGTGATGGGATTTCGCAAGAGGTATATTTATAGATAATAGAAATCCTAAAGTTGGAGCAAAAATCAGTTAGGGTAGTTCGTAAAGAAGTTTTGCGTATTAGTCAACAATTGAAAAATACATGGTTACAATAATTCTCTTTTGAAAAATATTTGTTAAGCTATTTTCGATAATGGGATAAAAAAAAATTATAATGGAACTTGAAAAGTATGAATAACTATGAGTCGTTAAGGTTAAATTCAAATCGTTTAATTCTGTGTTAATTTAATGCAAAATTTATGAGTCTTGTCTAAATCATGTTAGACCGCATTTTTGTTTTTATTTTTAGAACACGGAGCATAGTAGATTAAATTATGACAAGGATATCAAATTTTCTAGAAATTATGTAATTTTTTTTTCTTCCTAAAATTAGTTTTGTAACGGTAAGTACGTTCATAAGGCGCAAATGATATGCATCCAAAAGGTAATAAAAAACTGCCAATAAAACACATTTACATTTACATGCAATAGCCAAAAAAAAAACACATTTGCATAGAAGCATAACTCAATCAAGGATAGCACAAAGTAAGGGTGACAATTGAGTCTTCTAGTGTCAGGTTATTTCGGGTTCGTATCGTACATTAATCAATTCTAATCCAATTTATTTAACTAATCATGTTGTGTTGAGTTAACATGTTTATTTACTGTACAAACGAGAAGATAGATGAAATGTTTATCCCTAATTAAGTCCTTCAAAGTTATCATGATTTTGAAACTACTAGACTTAAAATAGATTTTCTCTACTCCACAAGGGAAGAATAATCACCATATTCTTGTATCGAGAGCATATTTTTTTAATACTATATTTAAATAGGTTGAACATGTCATTTTTGGATAAAATATTATCAGGTTGTATTCGTGTTGTTAATTGGTCATTCTCGAGTTAGTGTCGATACGATTAAATAAACGGGTTAATTGCGTGAATTTTGGGTTTGACGGGTTGATCCCAAACACGATCCGTTTTGTATTTCGTATTCTCATGTTGGGTCATTTTTAAGTTCATATCAAGTTATAATATAATTTATATCATTAAATTCGTGTCGAATTTGAATAGTATAGTTATATTGAGTCAAAAATTATCACCGCTTGCGTTAAGGTATCATACCATACCTCTAAATGATTTTGAGCTGTTGATCTTCTTTTAATTTATCATTGACCATTCATTATGAAAATAATAAATTAAAGTAGAATAGTAAAACAAATAATATGTACACTTGTCAAGTTCTCATTTAAAAAAAAATGTATAATATTAAAAAATTATTTTTCAGTACCATAATTGCATCCTACGGTCTATATTCGATCGTAGTCATTCAATGTTAAATTCTAATTTGTACACATTGCAACCATAACCAAGTCAAACACTCAGCACTGCATTATAATTAAATTCATGTCCATTATAACTGATGATGCCTAAAATAAATTTCAAGTGTTAGCTCAGGAGTTCAGTTCAAATCGGGAGATCAGACATATTAATTGAGGTCAGAACGTAAGGGGCTGAATGTCTCTTGAGGCAACCACGAGAGATTCCTAAAGCGTTAGGAAGCTATAATCAAGACACCTAATCTCAATAATTCTAATATTGTTTATTTCATTTACTCGTCATCACAAAAATGACATCACGTTAAAATACACCATCAGTTTGGCGCCGTTTGTGGAAAACGACTGTTCCTGTTACAAATACAGTTGATTTTTCAGTGACTGATGGTATCAACGCGAAACATGAGCCAAAGTCAGACCAATCCTCTACGGATGCAAGATCAACAGGAAGCCGCAAATAGCAGACAACCCAAAAACGCGCAAGAAGCCAATCCCCCTATGGGGGGCTTTTTCCATGAATAATGAGATGGAGGCCTTTCGTCTTGTCGATGAACGTCTGATAAAACAAAACGAAGAGCTCTTAAAGCTCCTACAACGCCCACAGGAGGCGCGACCGGCCCAAGGAGGCTAGAATAATCCACCACCAAGGCAACCGTATCTCGACCCCCTCAAAGAAGTTAATGAGGTGGGAGAGAGTAGCCATACCTTGGAGCAAGAACATTTTCTACCCCCTAGGAATGATCACAACGAGGAAGTACAAAGTCAGTATAAGGAAGGGGAAATGAGCGATTTCTTCCCTTATCAACAGGAGAGAAGAAAACACCACTGGGAACAACGGTTCAAAGACATCCAACAAGAGCTCAGCCAAATGAAGGAGGCAGTGAAGAGCAAGGCCCCAGTCACAATGGATGCCTTGGTGCAGCAAACCGAATCCCCATTTCACTGCTGGGGTGCTACACTTCCCTCTCCCACATAAATTCAGAATGCTGCAAGTGGATGCTTTCGATGAGACAAAAGATCTCGTGGACCACCTCAACGCCTACAAAAATCAAATAGAGTTGCATGGATATCAAGATCCAGTGAGATGCAGGGCCTTTGCTATCACCTTGAAGGGCTCAACCTTAGCATGGTTCAACAGACTCCCCCCAGCCTCGATTTTCTCTTTTAAAAAGCTGTCAATCTCGTTTGTGTCCCACTTCATCGAAGCTCAGACCTATAGGAAATCGAGCTACCATTTGTTAAATGTGAAATAGGGACCTAATGAGAACCTACGGTCTTATGTTTAATGGTTTAACTCAGAATCTTTGAAGGTGAATGTCCCAGACGAAAAATTTGCTATTACAGCTTTCATAGCAAGTCTGAGAGTTCAGTCAAAAGATCTGATGTTTTCCATCTCAAAGAACCCCCAGGCTAGTATGGCGGAGGTGCTTGCCAAAATAGAAAAGTACATAAATGGTGAGGAAGCGCTCCTCTCCAAGGTCGGGAGCTCTTCGTCGAGAAAGGAGAAAGGGAAGGAAGAAAAAAAGAGAGAACGAAGTCTCATAAAGGAAAGAGAACGAGGCAGGTCTCCAAGAAGAGACAGAGCGTTCCCCGAAGAGAAGAGAAAATGTTAGGGATCGCCTCGATCCTCCATAACCAGAGCTACAACCAAGGTATGCACTCCGATAGCTCATCCTTCTGACTGCTACGGTGTCTCAGATACTGTATGAGGTGCAAAATGAGAAGTTCTTAAGGTGGCCACCCCGGATGAAAGCAGACCCTGCAAAAAGGGATCCTATGAAGTATTGTGACTTCCACAGAGACTATGGTCATCACACCGACGACTGTATCCAATTGAAGAAGGAAATAAAATTTCTAATCCAGTGAAGGCAGCTGCGACGCTATGTGGCTAATGATAATCAAAACCGACCTCCACCCCCTTAGTGTCAAGCACCGGAGCCACTCCAGCAACCTATGAGGGAGATCAGAGTGATATCTAGAGGATTTGCTGGAAGAGGAGGGTCCAATTCTACTAGAAAGGCCCACTTGCGAAAAATTAGAGCCACAGAAGCTCCCGAAGTATATATTGTGTCTAAGTCTCCACGCTTAGACACAGCTATCACTTTCTCAGATTCAGATCTGGAGGGCTGCCAACATCCCCATGATGACCCTTTGGTGGTAAGAGCTGTGGTGGCCAACAGGACTGTCCATCGTGTTTTGATTGACAATGACAGCTCGATAGACATCATTTTTGCTTCTGTTTTCGATAAAATGATATAAGAAGGGAAAAACTTGAACCAGTAAGTGCCCACCTATTGGGATTCTCAGGAGAAAGGGTGTTGCCCCTAGGGTCAATCCAACTCATCTTGACCTTAGGTGACCCACCCTGTCAAACTACAATAACTGTGAAATTTCTAGTGGTTGATGCACCTTCAGCATACAATATGCTCCTTGGAAGACCCTCGCTCAATTCTATAAGGGCTATTCCCTCTGCCTATCACCTTGTAGTGAAGTTTTCAATAGAAAACGGAGTTGGAGTGATCCGAGGAGACCAGCGCATAGCACGAAAATGCTACATGTCATCCATGAGAAATAAGGAGGTTGAGAGCATCCAATTGGATGAGCTTGAGATGAGGGAAGAACTCGAGACCAGGCAACACCATCAGAAGAGCTGGAACCTGTTCAAGTTGATGAGGAGCCAGAGTATCTTGTTTACATTAGATCCAAGCTGAGCAAGAAGATCAAGGATCTCCTCATCCAATTCCTGAAAAGGAACAAGGAAGTTTTTGCATGGAAGCAAGAGAACATGAAAGGGATTTATCCCTCTGTCATCACTCACAAGCTCAGCGTGAATCCAGCCTGTAAGCCCGTTAAGCATAAAAGGAGGAGCTTCGCCCTGGAGCGTCAGAAAGCCATCAACGAAGAGGTCAGTAAGCTCCTTTACGTGAAAGCCATTCGAGAAGTGGATTACCCAGTCTGGCTAGCCAATGTAGTCCTAGTCAAGAAGACAAACGAAAAATGGCGTCTTTGCATTGACTTTACAGACCTCAACCGTGCTTGCCCGAAAGATAGTTTTCCTTTACCCCAGATAGATTTGATTGTAGATGCCACTGCAGGATATGAGCTCCTCAGCTTCATGGATGCCTTCTCTGGATACAATCAGATCAGGATGGATCCCAGTGACCAAGAGAAAACCTCATTCATAACTGAGCAAAGGACATACTGCTATCAAGTGATGCCTTTCGGTTAAAAAATGCAAGAGCCACTTACCAGCGCCTGGTGAATAAGATGTTTCAAAAATGGATTGGGACCTCCATGGAGGTCTATATTGATGACATGCTGGTCAAGTTACTGAAGGCAGAGCTCCACATTAGACACCTAGCAGAGTCGTTTCAGGTCCTAAGAGAATACAAGATGAAGCTCAACCCAGCTAAGTGTGCCTTTCGGGTGTCAGCAGAAAAATTTCTGAGCTTCATAGTTAATAGCAGAGGGATAGAGGCTAACCCAGAAAAGGTAAAAACAGTGTTGGGTATGCAGCCTCCCTATAACACGAGGGAAATACAGCATTTAACCGGGAGAATAGCTGCCCTGAGTCACTTCATTTCT